CAGAGAGGGAAGCGCTTCCTCCCGCTGCCTCCGCTAGCCCCTTCCAGGGAGGGCGACAGGGCTGTGTGACACTGAGAAAGTCACCCGGCTCCCTGTGTCAGTCCCCCACCACGACCCGTAGCAGTGCCGCCTCCCAAGGTCACGGCAGGCTGAGGGCACAGACCCTGCACTCGGCACTGCTGACCGCAGCCCCTCGGTCCCTACTGACTGTCCTTGAGGCTCCTCAAGGACAGCTGCAACAGCAGTCCTTGCCCACGACAGTCAGGTATGCAGTGAGCTAGTCTGGATCCTTCTCCCTCTGCCACTAATTCTTGCAACGCTGCAGTGAACCGGGCTCATACTCCCAGCTAGAGGCAGCAGAGGTTTGAGGGGTGAAGGGGAGCGGGATGATGGCTCCCCAGCACTGTGGCCCATCAGAGTGGGGGCCGGGGGTCCTCAGAGAAGGTTATGTGGGGGCAGCACTCCTGCCCCACCCAGAGAACACTGTCGTGCTCAGGTGGGTGCCCGGAGGGTCACCGCCCACAGGAAGCCATGCCCCGGGCCACCCCCGCACCACCCCCCCCCCACCCCCCACCCCAGGGCCTCGGCAGGAAAGCCCCTGGCAGGCCCCGCCTACCTCTCTGGCAGCCTGGGCGTGCCTCTGGGCTTGGGCACGGGCGGCTCGTGCAGCTTTCCTAGGCGGGAAAGGAGAGCGAGAAGGGCCTTCATGGCAGCGTGGTGGGCCGCCGAGTGCCTGCCCCACCGAGGAGGGCCCTTCCTTCCCACCTGGCAGGTGGTGGACTCCTGTGCAACCGCAGGGCACCCTGGCGCCTTCCGCCCAGCACTCAGATTAGATAAGCACCAGAGGTGACTAGCAGGACACCGAAGCCCCATTTGCATTTCAGTTAAGAAGGGGGAGCCCAAGTGCCCCAGGAGCATTTCCCCGCGTCAGCAGTAGATTTGGCCTCAACAGACCTCAGTGTCACCTCCTCCTGGAAGCCTCCTGGGATTTCCAAGTGTCCCGCATAACCCCCACAGCCGCCGCTGCCCCCACTGTAACAGACCTCCACATTCTGCCGCTGCCCCGGCCGAGTGGTCTCCCCTGAAGACTGGCGGGCCCTCCAAGGCCAGTCGCCTGCAGACTATCTCTGACCCTAGTGCCAGCTCAGGGCTGGGCCCACAGCAGGCCTTTGGGGTGCAGATCAGCATTGAGCAAGCCCCACAGGAGGCCTAGGGAGACCCTTTCCCCCAGGCCTGCACCCTATTCTAACTCTTCCCAACCCCACCCCTTCCCCAGTCCACCCTTCCCCGCCCCCACCCCTTCCCTCGTGACTGACAAGGTTGCCCAGCACATCTCAGGACACAGAGCTCATCAAAGCCCAGGGACATCATCTGGGAAGTTGCTAAGACAAGGGCCTGGGCCGGGGCCCACAGCAGAGCGCCCCTAACCCCGGCAGCCCCACCAGAGACGCGCCCACCCTTGTCCCTGGCCCCTGAGCGCCCGCCTGCCCGACATGCAGACATGGACAGGCTGGAGGTCACTGGACGTGCAAACAGACTGGCGGGCACCCAGGCAATCACAGAGGTACTTGGGGTACAGCACACCTACAACACCCCGAGACCGAAGCGCACGAAATAGACACAGAAGTGCGTGAGCCCCGCTCACACAGCGGGCGGGGGCGGGCGCGCTTGGTCCGAGCGGCACCGGCATGGAGAGCCTGCTTTCACAGCGCTCCGGCTCCTGTGCGCTGCTGAATGGGCGCTCGGATGACCGCCCAGCACGTGCGAGCACACCCGGCCGGGCCCTGCTCACCGTTCACTAGGCCGCCGCTGCCCGCCTGCTCCAAGCTCTCATGCTGCAGACTGGACCGCGGCCGGGGCGTGGGGGGCGTGGGCGGCGTCGGGGCTGAGCTCTCCGAGGTCCTCCTGGGCGCAGGCATGGGGCGGCCCGCCGGAGGGCTGGCCAGCTCCTGCGGCTTGTCGGGGACCCGGGGCTTGGAGGGGAGCTGGGGCCGGGTCTCCGGGCTGGCCCTGGGTGTGGCCACCACCGCAGGGGAGGCGGCACGCCCCTCCCCGTCCTCGGCTCCTGTGCCCTGCTGCGGCTTTGCCTGTGGGGGCGGCCCTGGCTTGGCTCCGGACCGCGCGGCTGGGCCCAGCCGCGCACACTGCTCGGCACACACGAAGGTGCCGTCCTCAGGCCCGCTCCTGTACGCCCCGGGGAGCAGGGTGCTGGAGCACTGTCGGCACCTGCCAGGGAGACAAGGGGCCACCTCAGCCGGGCCGGCCGGCCCAGAGCACCCAATTCCTCCGGAGCCAAGGTGTCCCGCCCCTCTATCAGCCTGGATCCCCGCTCAGGACCCTGAAACTCCCAGCGGGGGGACAGAGGAAGCAGAGAGCCACGCACCCCGGGAAGCCAGCAGCACCCGCGGGGAACACGCCTCCAGCTGTAGGAGGAGCAGGGGCGTCCCGGCCGAGGGCAGGACGGCACCACCGGGCAGGCCCCTCGCCACTACCCCGGGGGCGCTGCGTGGTCTGCGGCCAGCCGGGACTTTGTTTGTTCTGAAGCAGAACAGCGCATGCGAGAGGGCCACGCAGTAGGGCAGACACGGCTTCGGGGCATCGCCTGGCAGGCTCGCCGCTACCCAGGCAAGATTAATTTAGGGGTGTCTGTGCTGGTCACCGTGCCAGGTGCAATTCTTACTTGGGGGTCACTGCCCACCCTGCTGGCCAGACATGATGAGCCCCGTGCCCCCCCACCCGCTGACACCTCCATTCTGCGGTCAGGCCCTGAGTTTCCAAGTCCACTCAGACACACACAGACACACACACACACAGGCATTTAGAGACACACTGAGACACACACACACACCCCTATACACAGACACACACACACGCAGGCATTTACAGACACACTGAGACACACACCCCAATACACACAGACACACACACACAGAGGCTTTAGACACACACACACCCCTACACAGACACACACACGCAGGCATTTAGACACACGCACACCCCGACACATACAGACACACAGACACAAACACAGAGGCTTTAGACACACACACACCCCGACACACACAGACACACACACCCCGACACACACACACACACACACGCAGGCATTTAGACACACGCACACCCCTATACACAGACACACACGCCCCGACACACACACACACGCAGGCATTTAGACA